GAACCCGCCACCTTAGGTGTACGTGGCTGGCGCCTTAGCCGGTTGAGCTATAGGCGCCGAGCCCACCTGGCTGTTTTTTAGAGATGGGGTCTCACTCTGGCTCAGGCAGTCTGGAACCTGTGAGCTCTAGAAATTCACCCACCTTGGCCTCCCAAGTGCTGGGATTACAGGCATGAACCACTGCTCCCAGCCTCACCTTTTCTCATCTTTAAACAGGAACTACAGTGAACACTTGTCCAGGCTTGGTGGGCAGGGGTGCCGGACAATAAGTGAGTACTCACTAGTTGTATCAGCAAGTGTGTTTCTTGCTTTTTCTTCTTGAGCTAGGGTTTTGCCATGTTTCTCAGGCAGTTCTTGAACTCCTAGTATCAAGCAATCCACTCACCTTGGATTGCTTGGTTACTGGGACTCCAGGAATGAATCAAGTGTACGCATGTCTCTCACCTTGTCCCAGGCACCATGCAGGAAGCTGTATGTGCAGTGTCTCAGCATTCAAACTCTAGGAGATCAGCAGTTACAATTCTTTGCCTTTTACACGAGGAAAGTGAGGCTTAGAGATGTGGTGTGACTTGCCCAAGATCACACAGGTGGTGAGAGTCAGAGCTGGGTCCTCTCTCAGCCGGAATGCTTATATATCTGCACAGAGAGCAATGTGCTGGGTCTGTGCCTACTCCCGGTCCACCCTGGCTGGACACCAGCTGCACTGGAGACTATGCGTGCTCCCTGACCCCAGGTGGGAAACCACACACTCTGCCATGCCTTGCATGCTCGGGTCCTCTCTGCACCCCTCACTGTCATGCCGGCCGACAGACATTTCTGGTGCTAGCCCTGCCTCAGTCCCACACACCAAGCACATGTGCATGTATTACATCTCTTTTTAAGTCCCTTTCCAGGCAGGTTTGTAGGAAGCTTCTGGGTCCACTGAGCATGGTTTTGTGGGTGGCTCACTGCACAAAGGCACCTGGTGAAAGTTCACTCCCCTTTCTGCCACACCCTGTACTTTGAAGAGGGGTATCTTTTCCAACTGTCCAAAGATGCTGTGGGGGCTGGCACAGCCCAGCAGCAGAGGACCTGTAAGAATGTATGCATGAAAATTTGTGGAGGGGACTTGTCATCTTTTGGACTGGCCTGTTAGTTTAGACTCCTATGTAGACCGTTGATAACAGAACCTGCAGAAGAGCTGTCAAAAATATACTTCCCTGAGTAGGAAAGGCAGTCATCCAGCCCCTGTTCACTGGAGGGCCCTTGCTGGAGTCTGTATGCAGGGTGAACCACTGACACTGTGCCCCACCTTGTCTCAGCGTGAGGACAGATTTTAGGGCCAGGGCTAAAGCTGCTGCATTCTTTCTCATCTATTCTCTCAGGAGAAGAGCTCAACTGTGCAGGGCGAGAAGCTTCCAAGGGCACCCCAGAACAAGTGCCCTGGCCACCCTACCTGCCACAAGGCCATCAGACTCCTCCTCTAAGCCAAGGCCTTGTCTAGAAGGCACAGAGCCCTGCCTCTATGTTCTCAGGCAGGTACTTGGCCTCACTGAGCCACCATCAATCTAATGGGGCTGTCAGTAAGGGCATTGGCAGGAGAAGACTCTAGAAGCTTTCTTTAACCCACAGGAGCCCACCCACTGCCCCACACTCAGAGGGGCTGGTGCAGGATTGGTGGAAGCAGGAGAGAGTACCCCCAGGAAGGCAGGCTGAGGGGGATCCAGTTCATGGGCTGTTGGTGGGGGCAGTGGTGAGCCTTGGTCTGCCATGGACAGTGAGCTTTGCCAAGTTCCCTCCCTTCTTGAGCCTCAATTTCCCCCCACCAGGGACCTAAAGGGAGAGATGGATCCCATGATTCCCTCCTACCGGTGATCTATCTCCTTGGGATGGGACAGGTCTGCCCTGGACCCAGGGCCTGACCAGGCACACAATAGGTGCCACATGAACATTCGTAGAGTAAGTACATTTCTGCAACCTATATGGCCCTGTCACTAGAACATTCCAAATCCAGGCTCTGACAGGTGGCCATGGCAATGTCCAGCACAGTCACTGGGACATGCAGATTGAACACCCAACCTCATGGTACACCCCTGAGGCGGGGCCCCCAGAGGCTGCTGTCAGAACTCCCTGCCATGGTCCTCTCCCTCAGGGATGCAGAGCTGCTGGGAAGGGAGGAGCGGGGCCCCTGGAGAGGGGCACTGCAGGGACACAGCCTGCATCGGAACCAGCCCTGTTGCCCTGGTGATGGCTCATGTCCCAGGCACCCACGAGGGCAATTAGTGAGTGTGGGAGGAGGTTCCTATGGTGGCGGTCCCAAGGGGGTGTGTCCAGGGATTAGGGGAGGCAAGGGCCAGCAGGACCTTTCTCCTTTGTCTTGGGGACACTAGGCCTTTGTTGTTGCCTGGCTCCCTTTGACAGATGTGATCAGGACCGTGGGGAGAGGGGAGGGCCTTGGATTAGAGTCCCCCACCCTGGGGACTCCTGAAGCAGTCTGGGGGCAGGGTAGTGAGAGTGACTGGGCCCAGCATCCACTAGGGAGCCCCCCTCCCATAGGTGTAGAGCCTCACCTGCCCCAAAGGTTGGGCAGGCAGTGTGCACTGGGCTCCTGTGTCAAGTAAACACTAAACACCGTCCCCAGCAGCTAGAGGACAGCCTGGGTGTGTCCCTAGGGTGGGACCAGGACTGGGAGGGGGTGGGTCGGAGATATATCCAGGATGGCGGTGGAGGGCATTTGGTCCACTCACTCCAGGTATCTACTCAGTCAGACTTTATTCCAGAAGCTCTTTGGAGGCCGGCAGCCCACCCAGCCGTCTCTCCATCCCAGTCCTTCAGTGCTGGCTTTGATGTCTGCAAGGGTCCTGGCACCAGGAAGGCTCCACGGGCAGGTGTCTGGCTTGGGTCCCCACAAGCTCTACTTTGTGACCTTCCTTCATCTTTGTGCTTGACACAGTCTGTAACATTGGGGGATTCCTCTCCCCCACTGCCTGGACTTGCTGGGAAGGGGGCTGAGTCCCCAGACCTCAGCAGTAAAGTGCAGTGCCCATTTTCAGGGCTGGCATCAGCCATTCACCTGATCAAGATTGGGGGAATGCTGAATCCATGGTACCCTCAGAGTAGAAGCCTCAGAAGCGGGTGTCCAGGAAGGAGGCAGAGCCTCGATGGGACCTGGGCGGGCCTTCAAGGGGAGGGCCTCGGGTCCGAGTCAGGAGCCCATGGAAAGTCTTGCCACGAGTCTGGGGTTTGCGACGTGGGGGTCTGGGCTCCTCTGGGGGCTGCACCACAATCCGGGGCACCTCGGGCTTGGCACTTTCTCGCGCCCCAGCCAGCTGCTGGGCCTCAAAGATGGCTTGTGCCCCAGAAAGGCGGGCCTGTGGCCGAGGAGGTGGCCCCGGTGCTGACTCGGGCAGCTGAGCCAGCTGGGCCCTGATCTCCCGCTGCAGGTCCTGCTCAGACAGGGCCACACTGTGCACCTGCGGGGAACAGTTGGTGCTGAGTTTGCAGGAGGGCGGGGCAGGAAACCTTGAAGTCCCCATGGGCGGGCAGTATGCAGCCCCAGGAAGTAGCTGGGGGGCTGACAGCCTTGCTGAGGGAGCCACAGAAAGCCACTTGAGGCCTGCAGTTTCATGCTCTCTGCAGCTCAGAGGACAGGAACTGAGCCCCAGTTCTCACTTTGGTTTCCAGCTCTGGGACTCAGTTTCTCCTGCTATGTAGCAGGGGTGGGACATTGCAGAGGAGGGACCCACCTGAGACATGAAGACCTCCTCCTGCAGCTGAGCAGGGGGGATGGCTCGAAGGGCACCAAGCGTCTCCAGGAGCCCTGGGCAGGCCCTGCGCTGCTCTGCAGTGCCCAGTGCCAGGCGCACCAGCGTCAGCCCCACACGGAACAGCACCTTGACACCTGCAGGCGAGGCTCACTCACTGGGAGGCCAGTCCTGCCCTCAGTTCTACACCTGAACCTGCCCTCAGCCATACTCCTGCCACTGCCTGTAGCTCTGCTCCCTCCCCCAGCCTGAGGCTGGAAGGTGGGATTGCACTCTGTGGGGCACAGCCACAGTCTCCTCTGGGCCGCAGCTCCCTTGTCTCCACAAGGAAAGGTTAGGGGCATGCTCCTTAAGACCTTTTCAGCTTGTAACTGTGACACTTTGAATCTAGAAAGATTCAAGGCAGAGTTTCTCAGTCCTAAGCCAAGAGCACAGTTCTTATGTGTGCACACACTCCCCGCAGTGTGACCTGGAGCCAGTCCTGGAGCCTCAAAATCCCTTCCTGGCAGCCTCAGATCTGCTGAGAGGAACAGCCAGGAGACCAGCGAGGCCTAGTGACAGCTGAGACTTGTGAAGGGACAATCACTACTACTGATGTCCTTGTAGTTATTAAAGGGAGCTGGAGCAAGGGCCTCAGGTAGAGCTGATCAGACTCCACCTAGGTCTACCCAGCCCTGCCCTCAAGGTATGAGACCGGAGGGAAGAAGACCCATGGAGGGCCACTTGGATGCCTGTGACTCCAGCTCTAAGCCAGCTAGGGCACCTCCCCTGTGGGGGGACCTGAAGCCAGCAGGCACACAGCAGGTGCTCAGGTTCTGTCAGGTGCGACCTCTGGGCATCACAGGCAGGGCCCCAGGAACCAGCATGGGTCAGCCCGACTCCCATCCTGCTCTTGGTCTGCCCCTCAGTATCCCCCTCTCAAGTTTTGCTTTCTCAAGCCCTCCTGTCTGCAAGGCCCCAGGCCTCCTCCAAAAGTAGCCAGGCAGCTTTACAAACGGCAGCCCCCCAAAAAATAAATAACCAGCAGGTCTCTCCTGCCACTTCCCTCACACTCTCTGTCACATCCCTCATGTTATTTTCTTTTTCTTTTTTTTTTTTTTTTTTTGAGACAGAGCCTCAAGCTGTCCCCCTGGGTAGAGTGCCGTGGCATTACAGCTCACAGCAACCTCCAACTCCTGGGCTCAAGCGAGTCTCCTGCCTCCGCCTCCCAAGTAGCTGGGACCACAGGCGCCCGCCACAACGCATCCCCCTTTTTTTGGTTGCAGCCGTCATTGTTGTTTGGCGGGTCCGGGCTGGGGATTCGAACCCGCCACCTTAGGTGTACGTGGCTGGCGCCCTAGCCGGTTGAGCTATAGGCACCGAGCCTCATGTTATTTTCTTCATGACACTATGACAATCTAGAAATATCTTGTTAATTTGGTTACTGTCGCCTCCCATCCACACCCGTGCTAGAAGGAAGGTCTTGTTGACTTGGGTGTTCCCTATCATCAGTGCCAAGCCCCTTTGGGCTCTGGAGGAGTCCTACCACCTGCCCAACCTGGCCTAGTCCCAGAGCTCAGTCCTCCCTTGTTTTTACAACCCCAGCTCTTACCCCAGGAGCTCCAGGGAAGCCTCCCTGACTCCCTGCCCCACCCCAGGCATCGCTGATCCTCCCTTTGGTGCGCTGCATCACGAGACACGAACCACACCTGAACTAGAAGGCCAAAGCTCCCAAGGAGCCAGTACTAGCAGTGGCATCGCAGAGCACAGCCCCACCATGTGTGCCCCAGGCCCCAACCCCAGTCCCTGCTCACCTTCGCTGAGGAAGGCATCCCAGACACGCAGCACCGTGGGGAAGGGCAGGGAACGGGCGAAGAGGCACAGGAACCACTCAGGCAGGTAAAGCAGGGGCCCGACGCCCACCTGCTGTAGGTGCTTGTGCACACGTGGGAGCAGCCGCCGCAGGAGGGCCATGAACACCTCAGCGTCTAGCTGCACAGCCTCCTGTAGCCATGTCCATAAGCCCAGGGGCCAGTACCACTTGGCACCTCCACCTCGAATCCCAGTCCCCAGCCCCCACCCATATTACAGGTCCATTCCTCTCCTTCCTCCAGCCCCCATCCCAGCTGCTCACCATGTGAGGTCCGTAGTAGCCAGGGAGGTAGAACTCACAGATCTGTACCAGACACCAAAAGGCCTCCTGGGGGGCAGGGCACAGGCCTGTAATGCCCACAAAGGGGACCACCAGGCGAAAGCAGGACAGAAGGGCATGCCTGGGCACCACCAGGAGCCTGGTCTCAGTGTCCCTTCAACCTATTCAGTGCCTAGGGTCACTTTCCAAAACCCAGGGCCTGCTGATGGGGCTTAAAGGACCAGAAGTCACAGGGATCAGGATGTTGAATTTGAGGGTCACAGGGCTGGGGCTCTCTGGGCAAGAGTTTTGAGGGTCCCAAAGTTCAAGTCCTGAGTTTCTGGGGTCATTGCAGAATCAGGAGTCATGGAGTCAAGGGGATGAACATCCAGATTCCTGAATCATTGGGGTAATGGTCAAGGTCAAGGTCTCAGGCTCTGGGAGTCAAGATCAGTAGGCTTTAAGGTCACTGAGGTTGGTAGTCATGAGGCCCTGGGTCACTAGGACTGGATTTGGGAGTCAAAGATCCCAGGTCCCTGAAGCCAGATTTCTTGGGGCTGGGATCACTGGGGCTCTAGGATTCAGGAGTCAGGGGCTCAGCTTCTAGGAGCAGGATCCTGATCACTTACCTCCGGGGGCAAGTGCATGAGCAACACAGCAGCCACAGGACCCTGTGCCTGGCAGTAGCCTTGTTCTGGTCGGTACAGGGTGTAGGCTTTGAGTACCTGCAGGAGGCCTTGCTGCCTGTGCCAGAAGACCCCATTAGGGGCCAGTCCTCCAGGCAGCCCTTCCCTACCCTCTGGTTGCCCCTACCCAGGCCTCAGCCTTTCTGGGACTTGGTGGATCCCGAGATGCAAGGCTGTGACACTAGCATAGAGAGACTGCACCCAAATGCCTCGGGCTTGTGGGGCTGGGGGTCACTGGGCATCACTGGCTTCGTACCCATGGCCCTGGGGTGACACAAACATTTCATGCAGAGGGAATTGACGATGCAGGTCCCTGCCAATGGTCTCCATCCACTGTGGGTCTCCAGGGGCCTCTGCCAGCTCCTGTGGGTGTAAGGGCTCAGTGTGGTGAAAGACTCTGGGAAAGGGAGGTGGGATTCCTGCCCATTCCCTCACCTGGTAGGTGCCAGGGCTGTTCTTCTGACACACATGGGCCCCACACAACAGAGGCCAGCACCGGGCCCGCAGGGCTGAGGGGATGCCTTTCCGACACTGCATCTTTACCTGTGGGGGTGGGGGGAGGGGCTCCATTAAGCAAGCCCCACTTGGCCCTGTTGAGTAGGCCTGTGGCAGGCCCCTGTGGCAGGCCTTGAGCACAATTTAGCATTGGGCAGGGGCCATTCTGAGTTGCAGAGAGCAAAGGCAGGAGGTGCTGGGACATATGATGTGTATGTTTTGCCACAGTTCAGGCCCCAGCAGAAGGGAATGAGTCAAGAAAGGTTGGGTGGGGCTGCTCTCCCCCTCACCTTCTTGTACCGCCGGGACATAGTTTTTTCCCAGTGTGAGGTCATCTCTACCCACTTCATCTCTCGTTGGCGGATCAGGTCTGCAGCAGGGTAGCCCGACCTGGTGGCACATGGCATACGTATTCTGGTAGTGGGTATCCAGTAGTTACCTGGAGCCCATACCTGCCACCCTCCATGCACCCAGGTGAGCCCATTTCCTGGCCCTGGGGATCTCCCAGGAGCTCTAGGGAGTGACCTGTGACCCAAGAGGTGCCAGTGGTTGGCATGGGGACAGGAAAGGATGTGGCTCCCATGTGGGCAGGACTGAAGGGTGAATGTGTGTTGGAGGAGGGGTTGGAGAGCTATCTGCCAGGACAGGGACACAGACAGTTCATAGGTGAAGCTCACTGGACAGAACCCTGGACTGGTCGTCAGGAGCCCTTTGTTGGAGTTGGGTTTTGCTGTGTGACCTGGGGCAAACTCCTGTTTGTACTTTGAGGAGCAGAGAGAAGGAAATATGGGTTCTATGGTTTGGATCTGGGATTCCTGGACACAAAATGGGAAAGGATGTCCAGCCCTAGGAGTGTATGTAAGCCCTTGGAGGTTTGGGGTCAGAGACAGACAGGGATACCCCCAGATCCTTCCACCTTAAAAATGCTACCCAGAACCTGAGGAGGGTGATAGTGGCTGAGTCCCCAGCTCAGTCCCTACTGCCACACCCTCCCAGAACCCCAAAGTTGAGCCTCACTCCAGTTCAGCTTTCTGACCCCAACCTCAGGCCCAGCACCCTGCCCTCCACACCCCTGCCCCACTTACCCTGACTCTGTTGAGCTGCCCCCAATGAAGCCATAGCGGTCAGCCTGGCGATATGGACCAGGCCCACTCAGCTCTGAGTCAGACCCCAAAGAGCTGGAGTCATCCTGTAGCTCAGAAGTCTGCATGAGGTCCTCCCCCAGGGCTCGGGCCATGGTGCCCACACCTTGGAAGCCACAGGCTAAGAAATGTGGGGAAAACCAATGAGAGGGGCTGCTCCTGGCCAGCTGGGGCCTGGGCTCCCATTCAGCCAGTTCCCAGCCCCAGGCCTGGCTGTGTGGTTGGATGGGCAGGCTTCAGGATATCTTATCTGCTCCTCTGTGTCTCCTCTTTTATTGGGATGGAGGGTTAGGCCCTGTAGTGACAGAAAGGCCAGGCCCAGCTCCTGTCCCCACCAACCCAGCTCACCTCCCTGCTGCACCTCACCTCCTCCTCTCACTTCCTCCTTACACACAGCATCAGAACCCACTGGGGGCCCCTCCCAAGCAAAGGGGTGGGGGGAAGCTCACCCCTTCCTCTCTGAGGCTCTTCCTGCCTGCACCAGTGCGCCTGAGCCATGGGCTCCTCCTACCCTCCCCATGGGCTGGGTGTCCGGTGATTTGAGCTCCTGTGCTGGGTGTAATGGTGCCATGGCCTGCCAGATGTAGAGAGGCCAGGCCATCTTCAGCTTTGAGTTGCACTGGCATGTTAAAGAGTACAACTCAGTGTTTCTATAAGAATTTTGGTTTAGGCAGGGCGCTGTGGCTCATGACTGTAATACCAGAACTCTGAGAAGCCAAGATGGGTAGACTGCCTGAGCTCACAGGTTGGAGACCAGCCTGAGCCAGACAGAGTGAGATCCTGATCTCTAAAAATAGTCAGATGTTTTGGTGGGCTCCTGAAGTCCCAGCTACTTGGGAGGCTGAGGCAAGAGGATTACTTGGGCCCAAGAGTTTGAGATTGCTGTGAGCTATAAGGCCACAGCACTCTACTGGGGGTGACAAAGTAAGACTCTGTTTCAAAAAAAAAAAAAAAAAAAGAATTATGGTTTATTTAATCTTCGCTCTTTACAAAGTCACACTTTTGGCTCAGCGCCTGTGGCTCAAGTGGCTAAGGCGCCATCCACATACACCTAAGGTGGTGGGTTCGAATCCAGCTCAGGCCCGCCAAACAACAATGACGGGGATGCCGGGCGTTGTGGCGGGCGCCTGTGGTCCCAGCTACTTGGGAGGTGGAGGCAGGAGACTGGCTTGAGCCCAGGAGTTGGAGATTGCTGTGAGATGTGATGCCACCACACTCTACCCAGGGGGACGGCTTGAGGCTCTGTCTCAAAAAAAAAAAAAAAAAACAAAGTCACACTTATAACATGCATGCAATGCAATATTATTATGTTACTCAAAAGGTAATTACAGGGCAGCGCTCATAGCTCAGTAGGTTGGGTGCCGGCCACATACACTAAGGCTGGCGGGTTCAAACCGCCCGGGCCTGCTAAAACAACAATGACAACTGCAACAAAAAAAATTGCCGGGTGTTGTGGTGGGCACCTGTAGTCCCAGCTAGTTGGGAGGCTGAGGCAAGAGAATCGCTTAAGCCCAAGAATTTGAGTTTGCTGTGAGCTGTGACGCTACAGCACTCTACTAAGGGCAATATAGTGAGACTCTGTTTCAAAAAAAAAAAAAAAAGGTAATTATGGGACTTATAAGAAAATATTAATTTAATGAACCAAAACGCATTCCGCCACCTCACAGACACGGAGGAAGGAGTCCTCCGGGAATGTGAGGCTCTGGTTTTGACCAGACATTGCTATCTTTAAGCCTCAGTATTCGACTTCGAATACTTATTTTATAGTGTTTGAGGAGACGGAATTTGATAAAGTCACACTACCATCCCACCCAACCTAGGGATAGGAAGGAGACTGTTCAGCGCTTGCAAGAGAAAAACAACTCACACAGTACTTCCGGTCCCATAAAACCGGGATGGGTTGACTCTCAAAGGGCGGGACCAGACAACTGGCCCCGCCCAAACCCCGCCCCGACGCGCTAAGCTCCGCCCGGTAGCCGGATACCCAGCCTTCTGGGCCACCGCGGCCGCTGCGCTTCGCATCCAACCGAGGCGCTAGAGCGCAGGGAAAGAGGAGGGGCGGGGGGACGGGCCCGGGAGACGGAGGAGGCGGGGCGGCGGGCGGGGAAGGAGGGAGGACG